TGGCTGCTTTCTTATACAAGTCGCCACCAAAAACATAAGCGTATGCGAGGCCTGTGATTTTTTTTTTTTTTTGTCATGTAGAAGATGCTAATGCACTAGTGAAATGCGCAGTCAGCTCCCACTAATACAAACAAAAATTGCGTTTACTGAAGAAATATGCGGTCATAAACCTATGTCACAGCTAGTTCGATAATCTCTCTATCAAAAGAAATTCAATTTACGAGGACAAATATTCTGGAGGACCGCCTAACACGCCAAGTATTGTTGATATACCTAACTTAAGCACAACAGCTATTCGGTAAATTCTGACCCTGTCAGCGCAGCCAACCTTAAGAACATTCGCCGAATGATGGGACAAATAACTTGCTAATGCGCCTATCTAAAACTGATCTGGTCACAGACAAACTGATTCAAACAAATTCCTGTCAGAGCAGAGCGCCTGGTGGTGTCATCCTCTGCAAAAATCCAAGTGAACTTCGAAGCTGAACACTGAAATGATTGCTTCTCCGCCAGCAAACGCTTCACTCTGACGCAAACCGAGCCTCGCACTGTATTTTACACTAAAAAACCAAACTACCCTCAACCTTATTCCAGAAAGACACACTGAGAATTTGACCGCAGCACTGCCAGCCGAAGCAAAGTCGAGACCTGTGCGCCCGATCGGCGAAATAAGGAAGAGATTCCACACTTTTCTGGACAATTAGGCAAATGAGGGGACTCGCACATGAGCAACATTAGGATCTACTCTAACCGAGTAAACGCTTGCCTCGGATCGTTGTCAGTACTGCACTCATCCATTACTCCTTTCACCTGCACTTATCGCAACTGAAACAATGAAAGTTTGTGTACTACTGAATGGAACAATACAAACAACATACGAAGCTCGCCTCTTTTAAAGGCCTCTGGTTCAATATAAAATGATGAAAACACGAACGCCACTTCCCTAGTGAAGGTCTCAGCCGGGGTGCATTCCACCCGTCAGAATACAGACACTTCCTAAACAAGTCCTTTTAGTGGCTCCAAAAAATAATCCAGAACAGCCACCGGGTTAGCAGCTCTAAAGCAAACGATTTTGTTCGGGACTGTTCTGGAAAAACTGCTTGATATTCGATGAAACGTACGAAAGCGGGACCCGGCCCCGCCGAAAAATAATGGCCCGCACCGGGCTGCAAATTGCCAACCCTCTGCGGAATAAGGCCTCATTTCATTTGATGAGTAAACAACC